ACACACACACACACACACACACACACACACACACACACACACACACAGCTAAAAGAAATTAGAAACACCTCTCACTCTGCCAAAAGGAGAATTCTCCTCCATCTCTCTCTCTCTAAGGAAAAGACAAACAGGCAGGAAGGAAAACAATAACAAGGGAAGACCAACTCTCTTCCCGTGGGAAAATGATGGTGAGACGAGGCCGCCTGCTTGAAACACAGGGGAGCCAAGGCTGCGGGAGTGCAGCCGGCGGCCAGCAGAGGGGCACAGCACGTCCCACGGCTCAGGCGCGCAGGTGAAGACAGGAGAGCCGGAAGACACAGGCAGAAGGGCAGTATGACCCAGGAGGGAAAGCACCACCTCTGCGGCCAGGGTCCAAAGTCTAGCCAATACTATGCGAGGTTGACAGGCTGGGTGCCAGGTAGTGACCTGTGTGATGGGGCTAAATCATTGCACCTGTCTGGGCCTCAGTTTCCTTACCTGCAAAAGCTAGGTAGGGTGGTAGAGAGAGTGCTAGGCCTGGAATAAGAAGACCTGAATTCAAATTCAGCCTCAGACACTAGTTGTATGGCACTGGGCAAGTCTGCCTCAGTTTCCTCAACTGTAAAATAAGGATCATACTAGTTCCTCCTCCCAGGGTTCTGGTGAGCAGTAAATGAGACCAGATTGTAAACTGCTTAGCACGGCACACAGAGTAGGAACTTAATTCACTATGTTAGCAAGCTTAATAATAATAAGCAATAAACTTAAAAATGCTTGTTCCTCTTGGCCTCTCACCTGCCTCTCCTGCCTCACCATGAGATCACTGGAAGGAGACCCCAGAGGGCTTTGGGTCCAACCTCCTCATTTGCAGAAAAAGGAAACTGAGGCGCACAGAAGCCACGCCGGGCTTCCCATGGGAGACCTTTGCCAATTCTGCCCAGATCTTCTGGGCTCGCTCCCCCTCTCTAAATGACTCTGTGTTATGTTGACCATATTTAACATGTTCTGACACCTGTGAGTCCCAGGAGAGAGTAAGCTCCCTGAGGACAGGGATTATTGCTTTCACTCCTGCGCTGGTCTGCCCAGGAGCAAGCAGAGAAGCAGAAAGAGCCCCCGAAGACAAGCGGGGGGGGGGTGCGATCCTTAGGATGGGCCAGTTAAGAGCGACCAGGGGAGAGCAGGAGCCAGCTTTTATTGGCTCTAGGAGCTGATGATTTAATTTTCAGGGCGAGCATTTACACCTAGCAAAACAACAAATTCAACAAATCAGGGCTTGCTTCTTGTTTTATTGACTGTCTACACTTAAGAAAGTGGTGGAGAAAATACTAACGATGCCAATTAAATTTAAAAGTCTATTGTGGATACTGACCACCAAGAGCTGGTTGTTAAACATCGTCAGGATACTGCCCAAGAGCTGGTTGTTAAACATTCGTCAGGGTGCTGCCCAAGAGCTGGCTGTTTAACATTCGCCAGGGTGCTGCCCAGGAGCTGGCTGTTAAACATTTGCCAGCATGCCCCTTCATGGTACATCTCTCTTTTGTGCCTGAGCCAGCGTCCTGAAGCCCACCTAGCCAGCCCAGCTGACTTCCCATGGAGCCAGGCTGCCTCTCCCGCTGGCTCCTCCAGCCTCCCCACCTACCCCAGTCAATGAAGCGGGCAGCTTTCAAAATCACATCCATAAAACTCCCTCAGAACTTCAGGGGTGTTTACGGGAAGTCTTTTCCCATGAGTGACTCAGGGCTCCTTCCTGAGCCCCCTCCATGCCTAGCCCCAGACACAACAGGAAGGAGAGGCGGTCAGAAGCCCCAGGGCCGACAGCTATGACCATAAGCTAAGTACCCACCATGGGAGCCAGGGGGCGCCACACTGCACAGTGCCCCCCTGCAGTCAGGAAGACCATCCCCAACTCAAATCTGCAGTGATCTTTGGCAAGACACTGCCCCACCATCTGCCTCAGTTTTCTCCTCTGTAAAATGGGGATAATAATAGCACCTCCTTCCCAGGGTTGTTGTGAGGATCAAATGAGATAAAGCATTTAGCACAGTGCCTGGCACACAGTAAATGCTATATAAATGTTGTCACTATCATTATTATTATTATTATTATTGTTGTTGTTGTTGTTGTTGTTGTTATTATTATTCTTTTAAAGACAGCTTTGCAAACTTAAAGCCCTCTGCAAATGCTAGCTATTGGCCGGATGAAGGCAGAATGCCTAACGTCGGGACCTCCACACACGGGAGCGCTGCTGTCTTCATAGTACCTGGCAATTGAGAGAGCACTTTAATTCAAGTTTGCAAAGCGCATTACGGACACGTCATCTTGGCCCTTTGGGGAGGGTCGAAGAACCAAGGTCAGCAGCTGGAAGGGGTCTTCGAGGTCATCTGTCCCCATGTCAGAGAAGAGGGGGCTGCCGCCCAGGCAGGGTCAATGATGTGCTCGCGGCCTGGCGGGGATTAGCCCACAAACATGGATGAAGCATCTCCTACGGGCTGGGCACTTGGCGGAGGCCCCAGGAGGCAGACAAACCGCTTTACAAACATTACCCTCACAAGAACCCTGGCAGGCAGGAGCTAACAGTGACCCCATTTTACAGAAGAGAGAACAGAGGCCCACCCTGGGGTGGGGACACAAAGGTGTCATTTATTTCTCCCCAGGAAATCCGTGGCTCCTGGCAGCCAGCTACCCCTCCTCAAGGCCAGAAGCCGCATCTGCACCCACTTAGCCCCCCAGCCCATCTCTCCCCCGAAAGGGGCCCTTCTCTAGCATGGGTGACTCTGACCCGGTAGATACGGAGGGCCGCTCAAGGAGCACAGTCCTGCTGGGCTGGGCGCCTCCAAGGCACCACTGCTTCCCCAGCTCCCCAGGGCCAGTCACTCCTGCACGGGCACCCCGAGTCACTGCAGGCAGGACCCTGGACCCTGGATCACAACCCAGGCCCAGGCTCCCTGGACAACAGTCCACAAGGCCCTGGGTTTACAGGTAATATCTCACTGCACCTGGTGTGGGAGAGCGGAAAGATGCTCTGACTTTGGGACAGGAAAGGAGGAAAAAGGAGGGAGAGGGAGAAGGGGAAGAAAGGAAGGCAGGCTTACCCTGCACCTAGAGTGTGCCAGGCACTGGGCTAAGCCCAGCATATATTTCATGTCTATTTAGGTGAGTAGGTATTATTTCTCCTGCTAGAATGTAAGCACCTGGAGGGCAGGCACTGTTTCACTCTTATCTCTATATCCTCAGCGCCTGGCATCATTATACTGACCCTTCATGTTTCCTGGCGATCTTCAGTAAAAAGGCCATGGAGCACAGTGTCTAGAGAACTGGCCTAGGCGACAGGACACACTGGCTGGGTGAGCCTGGGCACTATACACGCTGCTCTAAGACAGAAGGATGCCAACAAGGCACCAACCTCATCAGGGAAACGCGGTCTTGGCTTCCGCCTGCCTCTCACCACATGTAGAGGCCGCGAGCACATCACTGACCCTCCCTGGGCAGCAGTCCCCTCTTCTCTGACACGAGGACTGATGACCTCTAAGACCCCTTCCAGCTGCTGACCTTGGTTCTTTTCCCCCTCCCCAGTCTTTGTATCCCCAGTGTCTAGCCCAGTTCCTGGCCTACAGTAGGCGCTCAGTAAATGCTCACTGACTGACTGAGGAAAAGGGGGCCAGGGCAGAGATCGCCTTCTCTCTCTGGGACTGCGTGACCATACCCAAGTCCCTCACTCCTTGGAGCCCCAGCTCCACCTGTCAAAAGAGGATGAAGGTCAAATCTCAGCTTATGCCACCTAGACGGTGACACCTTCAACAAGTCCCTTCTCTCCCCAAGACTCGGTTTCCTGATCTGCAAAATGAGAAAGCTGGAAGAGAAGGCCCAGGAGGGGCCATCCAGCTTCAGACCGATGATGTTGGTCAAGGCTGGCTCCCCCATGTGCAGGGGACAGGGTCGGTTCTAGGGAGGACCGAGTGGACCAGGAACGAGAGGGAGAGTGGGGGAGGGGAGTGAATCCTGCTTCAGGCCCTTACTAGCTGTGTGACCCTGGACAGGTCACATCATCAACATGC